GTGGGCATGTTGACCCTTCCCCCCCACCCTCCCCGACACCGTCAACCAATCGCGGCGTAGCTTGGTGTTCGGTGGGGAGGTGCATGGGTGGGCGGAATTCCGGATATGCACGACAGACAGACAGACACATAATCCTTGGTGGGCAGTGTGGAACCTGTTGTTCCTACCTGTATAACACTCTAGGTAACTAAGACTCACACACACATACACTCACTCTCACACTCTGAGACGCACACACACACTCACTCTCACACTCTCAGACACACACACACTCACTCTCACAGCTCACACTCTCAGACTCACACACACACTCACTCTCACACTCTCCGACACACACTCTCACACTCTCAGACTCACACACACTCACATCTCACACTCTCAGACACATACACTCACATCTCACACTGTCAGACTCACGCACACACATTCACTCTCACACTCTCAGACTCACACTCTCTCTCACACTCTCAGACTCACACACACACTCACTCTCACACTCTCAGACACACATACACTCACTCTTACACTCTGAGACTCACACACACACTCACTCTCACACTCTCAGACTCACACACACACTCACCTTCACACTCTCAGACTCTCACACACACTCTCAGACTCGCACTAACACTCTCAGACACACACACTCACTCTCACATTCTCAGACTCACACACACACACTCTCTCACACTCTCAGACTCACACACACACACTCACTCTCAGACTCACACACACTCACTCTCACACTCTCAGACACACACACTCACTCTCAGACTCACACACACTCACATCTCACACTCTCAGACTCACACACACTCACTCTCACACTCAGACACACACACTCACTCTCACACTCTCAGACTCACACACACATACACTCACTCTCACACTCTCAGACTCACACACACACACTCACTCTCACACACACACATGCACTCAATCTAACACTCTCAGACTCACACACACATACTCTCAGACTCGCACTCACACTCTCAGACACACACACTCACTCTCACACTCTCAGACTCTCAGACTCACACACACATACACTCACTCTCACAATCTCACACACACACACTCTCAGACTCGCACTCACACTCTCAGACACACACACTCACTCGCACACTCTCAGACTCACACACACACACTCACTCTCACACTCTCAGAGTCACACACACACTCACTCTCACACACACATACACACTCTCACACTGTCAGACTCACACACACACACTCACTCTCAGACTCACACACACTCACTCTCACACTCTCAGACACACACACTCACTCTCAGACTCACACACACTCACATCTCACACTCTCAGACTCACACACACTCACTCTCACACTCTCAGACTCACACACACATACACTCACTCTCACACTGTCAGACTCACACACACACTCAGCGCGGCGTTTGGAGGGGGGGCAGTGGGATGAGTGGGCGTGTTTACCTTTCCCCCACCCTCCCCAACATCCTCAACCCCCTTAACTATCGGCCCCTCCCCCTTGCTTAGGCACCTCCCCTTACCACCCTCTCTCAGGCCCCTCCGCTGACCCCCCTCCCTCAGGCCCCTCCCCTGACCCCCCCCCCCATATCTTTAGGCCCCTCCCCTGACCCCCTTCCCTTAGGCCCCTCCCCTCTCCATACCCGGCAGTAGGTCTCCACCAATCAAAGAGCTGTTTGTATTATATATGTATTTATGCACGACAGATAGACAGACAAAAAATCCCTGGTGGGCAGTGTGGAACATTGTTCCTACCTGTATAAGAGCTGGGCTGAGTTGGCCCGCTCAATTGTGATGGACACCTTAATGGAATGTGGTCTTCCACCTGTTTCGAACACAATAGCCCAGCTTGCTGCACACCTTTATCATTTTCAAATACCCCGTGCACATGATTATATCCTCCCCACTTCCCGGAACCTGCTTTTCCCCAACACTCTTTCCCTTTTCGGGTGGACCACACCCTCAATATTGTATTTTCCCTTTGGAATTATTTGTGTCATATGACATCATGCAACAGCTTCATCTGCACTATCTATATCACTAACAATAGTAAATTAGTGGTTGTGCCAATACTTTTTGCTACTAAATGCCTATAAGACCGAAGCCATATTCATCGGTTCCCATCCGCATTTTTCTAAAATTAGTTCGTCTCGTTTGTGAATTGATGGTCACAATGTCAGTCTCACATGGGAGGTCAGAAACCTTGGTGTTCAGTTTGACCAGTCATTACAATTTGAGGCACATATATCAAAGGTGGTTAAAATTCCCTTTTTCCACCAAAGATATTGCCAGAATGCATCGCTTCCTGTCACCTGCTGACTTGGAAAGCCTGGTTCATGCATTTGTTATCCCGACTCGACTAATGCAGCGCCTTTATTGGCTGGGATTTCGAGAAAAGTATTGGGCTGACTCCAGCTTGTTCAGAATGCAGCTACTCGAGTGCTCACACATACACCATTCTGTGAGCACAGTACACCAGCCCCCTTAACTCTTAATTGGCTACCAATCAAATTCTGAGTGGATTTTAAGATAACGCTATTAACCTAATATGCTTTATATATTAAGTCACGGTCCTTAAGATCTTCTGATGTCCAACTGCTCAACATTCCAAGGTCTAGGTTGCACTCTTTTGGTGATCGGACGTTTGTTAACGTGGCATCCAAACTATAGAACGCTTTGTCAGTTGAAATCAGGAAATCAGAATCGGTAGATATGTAGTGGCTTAGTACTGGCTGCTGGCAGGAAAGGGGATCTGCGGCGTATGGCAGCCCTGACGTCAGCAGCCTAGGATATACACGAGAGGGCGTTCGAGGGGAAAGGTCACAGAAGTGGCCCACCAGGAACCCGTTATTAGGTTCCAGAAAGGGGGTGTGGCCGGGAGCGTGGGGGACCTCGGGGCTGTTGTTGGAGTGGGATCCCCGTCGTGTTGCTGAAGTCCTTCGTCACCGTTCTTCTCGTCGTCTTCACCATTTCGGGGCACCGCCAATCAGGCAGTCTACCAACTGTCCTGAGTAGTGTCGTTTACAATAGATAGACTAGTTCAATTATTGAGTGTTAACCCTGATGGTGCTTTTTAATAAGGAAATGCCTCCAAGTGTTATCGTCTCCGAGTTAGTCACTATAGATATATTTATGCCTGCTTTGAAAACCCATAAATTTAAACTGGCCTTCCCTCTTTAGTTTGGTCAGTTGTCCTGGTTTTGTTGTTTTTGTTTCCTGCTTTTCATGCATTGTGCATTGGGATCCTAGGATGAAATGCGTATTATAGTTTAAATTAGTATAATTAAAATAAGGAGTGTTTCACTGAGTGCATTCCTCGTTTAAAATTGTGCCTAATTATTTGCACAATATTTAAAAACAACGCGAATGTGTTACATTACATTTTTGAGGATATATTCACTAATTGGCAGCATAAATGTGAACCAACACATTATGCGACAACTTATTGCGGGGGCGGGATGTTCTTGGTGGCCACCCCCTGCACTTGGTGGCCAGACCAGAAGAACGAGACATAGTGGGTACGGGATACATTCACAACACATACTATCAGCAGTCCACGCGTAGGGAGATTTTCAACGGACCACGAGCTTTCCTCTCTTATCCTTTATATACTCTAACAATCTACCATTATTGAACTGTCTTTCATCTCTTAACAACTCCCGCATATTCCAACTTGAGTTGCCCAGCCAATCCAATGTCCACCAGTTGAATAGACAGACCATTGATCATTAGTGGCTGTTCTGCCTGACCAATCAGGATTGTCCTGGAACAGCAATCAGCTAATGGGTAACTTACAGCGGCCAATTCAAATGGCTATACCACTGTTTTACGAATAGTAATGACATATTTCAATAACGGAACACCTTTGGCCTTTAAAAAATTCCTAATTATACAACACACGGTACTTAGGGGCACTCTCACGGAAAGGTGTAAAAGTAGGGGGGCGACACGTGGGAAGGGGGGCTATTGTCGGGCCTCACTGCTCAGGGAAGGGTTCGTCCAGGGACAGGGGCCCCGATAGGAGCTCCTGATCCCTGGATCGGGAACCGCCACGCGGTGGAGGTGAGAGGGTGGGAGAGTGGGGGAGAGAATGAATTTATGACAATGGCGAGTGGAGGTCAGTGAGGCGGGGAGTGAAAGTCACTGATGGGGTGGTCAGGAGGGGGGATGGAAGGGGAAAGAGGGGGAGGTCACAAGGAGGGGGCCCAGAACTCCAGGCCCTGAGCCCCGCGCTCCGGTCCCCCGGGACCCTCTCCCTGACCCCCAAGTCGTGGTTGGGCTGCCACGGCAGCCCAATCCTCGTCCTGGCATCCCACGGTGCAGGGTGGTACTGACGCCCCACCCCCCTTACTGAGAAGGAAGGGGGGATCTCATCCATCATCGCTGCTCATGTCTGCCGCCACGTGTTAAACACAAGGTGGTCGACGTCTGGTTGAGGGGGTTGGGGAATGAGCGTGGCAGATGTCATTACCGGGTCCGGGTAAAGGGGAGGGGAAATAACGCTCAGATCTAGGTCAGGGCCAGTCCACAGGGGGGGAGAGGAGGGGGTCGGAGGGGGGGGCATGTCATGGTCGTATCTGTGGGAATGGGAGAGGGGGTGATGGTCAGGCTCGGCTCTTGCTTCCCAGGTGCTAGGGTTTAGTGTCTTGTAGATCGTTTCCGTTGGTTTTGGGTGGGGAGGTTCATTTATCTGAACCTTCCTCCATATCTTCAAGGTTTGGGGATAAAAAAATCAAAACTTTTGATGGGTAAGAAGTGGAATACCTGGTTTAAAAGGAGCCCGATCGTTGAGATGGGGAAGGAGCGGTCGGCTTCGAGTTGTTCACTCAGCCATCACGTCACTGGAAGTCCAGAGCTACTGTATGTACTTTAAAATCTAGATTGAAAACTAATTTATTTAGAACTACTTTTTGTGTTTAGTTTGGTTGGCAATATATATGCATATCATCAGTGCGTGTGAATATCTCATGAAAACGCTGAAGCGCATTACAGTATATGGCAATATATTTTTTAATCAAAACAGTAAAGTCAGAATTTTAATAGAATACTAACGATTGTATGACTATACTAGTTTAGGTGAGACCTTACAGGTGATGGCAAATATATGCGGAGGATAAAATTAATTTCAAACTCGTAATTATTGTCAATATATTGAACATTACCTGTTTACACGTAAAATGCAGTGTGTGCTTAAAGTCAGCAAGGGTTAGAATTATTGCAGAAGACTACATTTTTCAAATATTCGCAGGACACTATTGGCAAGGACTAATCTAGGTACCACAATGCATGCTTGTAGATTCTGTGTATTGGTACATCTCTAAGTGATTTAATAACAGGTCCCTGTGGGGTGGGCTGGTAGGAACGAATAACCAAAGAATATAAACATAATGTATTATTACACTTATTTAGCCAGGAAAGCCTCACCGAGTGTAAAGGTTTTTGTAGGGTCCTGCCAAGTGTTTGCAGTAGGGGGAGATGTTGCTACACCTAATCGGACGATACGAAGGGAGAGTTTGAGGCCTAGTTCTAGGCTTTAGGCCTAGCTGTAGGCTTTAGGCTGCTGTGAGTTAAATTTTAATTTAAATGTTTAAATTAAAAGCTATCTCAGGGAATTATAAGGGAATGTTACACTTGTTTAGCCAGGAAAGCATCTAAAGGTTTTTGTAGGGTCCTGCCAAGTGTTTGCAGTAGGGGGCGATGTTGCTACACGGACGGACGATATAATCTATTGTAGGCTGGTTCACTTCGTTCCTACCAGTAAAATAACAACTTATTTGGTCATGCTGCTCCTTTGGCAGTGGTGTACATGAAAAATAGCAAAATAACATATTTGTCAATCACACTATGGCCTTCAAAGGGAAAACATATATATAATAAGTAACATTACGGGAAAATTGAGGTTGTGGGAATAATTATTTATCTTCCTGGTGATAATAACGATAATAATTGGAGCAATAAACGCATGTATATGTGATTATTTGATCTGTTTGACTGTCAGGTGGTGGAGTGCCTTAAAGACACACATTGAAAGATCATTACAAGGCCTAAACCAAAATCAATTATGAATCATATAATATTGGATAAAAAAACCTGTGTGCTAAGTTATATTGTGTTTTCTACTTTGTGAAGACAGCTAAATGCACACGGTAAAATGCGTTGTTGCAGTCAATGGCTGCCCCCCCCCCCTTTAAGAAGAACAGCCTTGGATCTGCATGCTAAACTCATATTCGCGTTTGATGGCGCAAAATGTCTGCACGTTTGGTTGGTTACACTTTTCATCCACGGGCCATTGCTCCACCCACGAACTTGCGTCCAACACGTACTGAAACCTACACATGCAAAAACACAATGGGTTAATGGAACTCCAAACACAGGTACACGTGTGTAAATGCTGATGTCCCCGTGTGTACTACCTGCTATGACATGGTTCGGAAACATCATGGTCATTTTGCAGTAATATTCTGTTCACTTAATAGGCTGACTTGAATATTATCAAAACTGTGTGCAATCTTGGTATCCTCATGGGCTCAGAGCTATATTTATCTCATCATATTTCTCATATTTTAAAAACTGCTTCCAACCACCTATATAGTATTTCTCAGATTAGCAACTCGCCAACTCAAGACACTGCTCAAACCTTAATTCATGCTTTGTAACTTCCAGATTTTATTTTTGCAATGTTTTCCTACTTGGTCCTTCCAACTCTATCATTCAACAAACTGAACTCGTACAAAATACTGCTCTTAATTTTTTGTTTAAATGGCACCTCTCATTTCTCTGGATACCTTATCTAGACTCCTTCGCTCATCTAGTCGAGTTGCTAGTCACAACAAAGATCAGGTGCACGAGTATTGTTCGGCATGCCTTCTCGTTTGCAGTTACATCTGTGTGGAATGCACTCCCACTGCACATACGTCATCAGATTAGCTCCTTTTCACACTCAATGCATGTAAGTTGAACTTCTTTTGCACCTTATGTAGCGAACCGTGCTAATCGGAGGTGCGAGGGACAGACAACAAACTAAACACAAAAAGCAGATCACATGACTTCAATTTTTCTTTTCGATTTAAAGCTTTCGTGACTGCAGGGATTCATCTTCTTGGTTCTTTCGGTAAAGTTATGGGAAAAATATGCTAAATTCCTATTGATATGCAAATTCCTTTGTCAAGGCGCCCTCCTCCTCTAACCCAGCTTAAATAAACGCTGCCAAGCTTGGTGGTGTTCATTCAGATGCTGTCTTTCCGACAGCCCTGTTCTTCACCTGAGGACGGCTGCTTGCATTGTGGCCGAAACGTCATGAGAATTGTATTTTATTATGTTTTATTTTTATCATTTTATTATTTCCCTTCTACGTGACTTTACCGAAAGAACCAAGAAGACGTTCTTGTTTACTGTAGTTTATAACGGATATGTGCGAGGATTTGATGATGTTCAGTGATTTAGGTGACTCTTTGCATCTGTAGTGCCATAAGAGGGGCCACTGTGCCAGCCCAAGAGGGGAGGGGCTGCTGGGGGCTCTGGGATCCTAGACAGATAAGCCTCAGCGCCAGGCGCTAGGATCCCAGGCAACCCAGACGCTTAAGCCCCTTGGCGCCACCAATGGGGGGGCTATCTGTGGGATATCTGGGGGCGCACACAACCCTACCCCTCGTTGGGGACGAGGCATAAAAGGGCAGCTCCCTGGCCAATCGGGGCCAGTCGCAGCTCAAGACCCAAGACCCGCCAGCCAGCCAGCTTAGGACCCTGGACCCCCTCGTCCCGCTTGTCCTTGTAAGGGCCGGGACGCTGTGAGGGCCAGTGGTGGGACTCTGGGACTCCTGGCTCTACATCCTTGTAAGGGCGAGTTCCGAGGAAGCCAGAGTCCAGACCCGCACCATGGCTGGGTCGGGTCAGATAGCCTCCCCTAGGGTAATTGTAGCCGGAGGACCCCAGAGCGTAGCCAAAGTAGTGTATCTAGGCTGTGTACCTAGGCTGTGTACCTAGGCTGTAACAGAGTATCAGGACTGTTGGAGTGTTGTATTGTAATAAAGAAGTTACCTCTACAAGTGTCTCCGGAACCCATTACACATCCATTACACAGTAAGCAATCCAATTATTACAATTTGCATGAATAAAGCATCGTCCAATGTATGCTTCAAATTGTACTTAGAGGGAAAGAAGAATGCATGGATTAGAGAACAGATAGAGGTAAATTAAATCATCCAAACTCTTAAAAGTAAGTCAGCTTGGGAAGCACACATGACTAGAAGGCTCGAGGCATTAAAAACCATAATTGTCGAAAATAAACTGGAATATAGTTGATTGATAATACATTTTGAGTTAGACCACTGCTGCAGCAATGCATGTGTGGTTTGCATTTAAAAAAATGCTGCGGTTGCAGACTTCAGGATTAAATTTTCTATTCATCTAATGCGCCTTGGCACTACAGTCGACCAATATATGTCGTTTGTAACCATATGCAATGACTAGATTAGTCACATTCGACCACTATTAAGTCGTGACATAGCCAACACGTTGGCGTGTAGCATAATATCGACAAGGCTCGAATTTTGCAACTTACTACTCTGTGGGACATCTGGAAAAACATTTACCAAACTGCAGTGTATACAAAACTCTCTGGCACATGTCGTGACGAGTATTGAAAGATTCGACCATGTCCGTTCAGTGCTCGCCAAGCTGCATTGGCTTTCAGTTGCTGAACGAATATGTTATAAGGTCACACAAAGTGCTTGCTGTAAATTAACCACAATACCTTGCTAATTTCATCAATCAGCACAAACAATAACGCAAATATTGGTCAGCCCCGCAGCGGCTTTTGGCTGGCAATCGAACAAAAATGGTTACTGCATCGCAAACTTTCAGATGCACTTCTGTGGCTGTCAGGAGTACCTTTCCTTCTGATATTAATTTTAAATCGATATTTAGAAATCATTTATTGAATGCTGTGTGTAATTTGAATTGAAACATTTTTGGAAAATATTTTGAAAGTGGCAAATTTGTACCATGACACCAGCAAACAAAGTCCTACTCATTTCACATTAAGTCACAGAATATTTAATATCCCCTGTGAAGCAGACAATACATAGTATGTATGGTTAATGCACCCACAGTAATAGCCAGGGCAGCCTAATGAATTCAAAACATGACCCATTGGAACAAGCGGCAGATACAATACTGCTGGGCTGTGCCACCGCCCCCATCACTCACCTATCATTCCTGTCCTTCGTCTCTCCCTTGCGTCCCATCAGGAGGTACTGTCGCGGTGTTTCCATGCCAAGACGTCCATCACATGAGCGGGTCACGATGAATAGGCGTGTCGCTTTAGGTTGAATAGCCTGATCTTGGCCTTTGTGATGAAAGTTTGGAGAGGCACACACACATTCATATAACCCTGAGATAGCCAACGTATGCAATTGTGTATTAAAAAAAAACTGTTTCTAAAGCAGCATTTTGTGATCATAAAACAACACCATGCATTTAATATGCCAAGTATTATTGTTTCTGCTCACAACCATCCTGGATTATGTCCTGAGGATGCTTGGGACAGTTTACAGTCTTCTTCTTCTTTGATATGGCTGATATAGATGGAGAGCAACAACTACAAATTCACATTCAGATGGTCAAGCCAGATAACCGCATCAAGAGTAGCAGAGTATCACTGTGATGTCTTCTTCATGTTTGTGGATCGGGCATTTCATAGTTATATGTTGTATGGTCTGTTCTGAATGACCACAGTCGCACACTGGAAATTTATTAATTTTCCATATGTGCGTCAGGTATTCGCATCTGCCATGGTGTGTGCAGATGCAAATTACGGTGGACCATGAGCTTTGTGGAAGATCAAACCCAGGGATCTTCTGCATTGGGTCTTTCACAAGGTGTGTGTTCGTGAGTTCTTTGAACTCCATTCAGCTCTCCAGGCTTCATCGGGGCTGAATTCGCATTGTTTAAGATTCAGCACATGTGTCCACAATTGCTTGGACCAAGTTGACCCTTGTTTTGGTATTGGGAACTACCTTTTTCAGGTGGTTCTGTAAGGTTAGCGTATGGTCCACCTTAACTCTGAGATAGGTTGGAGTGGGGTCGTGTCGCAGTAGGTCACTTTCAGAGTGTGCTTGCTGCTCCTATTGTCAAAATGAAATGCAGTAACTGTTGTTTCATGGGGATTTGACTTGAGCCTCCAATTGCAGAAATATTCCCCCATGGTGTTTAGCTGTTGCTTCAGAGTAGATTCAATGTCGTTGAAAGTGGCTCCTTGCGTTGCCAGGGGAAGGTCATCCGCATATATAAATTTGCATGACCTGGTTGGCGGCATGTCGTTAGTGTAGACATTGAAGAGAGTTTGCGTGAGTACTGAAACCTTGAGGCAATCCATTGTTGAAGAAATGGGTAAGCACCCATATAGGCACGCAGTCGCCTATTGCTCAGCATCTTCCATATCAGGTGTATTGTTTAGAGCTTCAACATCAGCCATTAATCCAGACTATGTTGTAGGCTGATGACAAATCCACATGGCTGTGGATTTCGTCTCGAATCAGGCCTAAATTTTCGTTGCAAGGGACAAATCTTGGTCACAAGAGAAGCGTCCAGGCCAGAATCCCACTTCTTCTTCAGGGATCACTGACTAGGCAAAATGGGCTGATTCTCCGGAGGATGATGCGTTCCAGGAGTTTATCAGTCATGCGCAGGATTGATATTGGCCTATAGCTTCCCTGGTCGTTGGTTGGCTTTCCCGGTTTGGGTATTGCAATGACTATCGCCTTCCACCATGCTTTTGTCTAATTAAGTGAAACGTCACGTTTAATTGATGATAAAGTTGGTTGTGAAAATTATTTCACGAACTGCTTCGCTGAAACAACAATTTGTGTGTTAAAGGCAATGTAATTAGTATGGAGGGTCTTAACGACACAATATTGGCTGGATCATTACATAGCCTAACCCAAATATCGATTATGGATCATATTTAATGCGAAAAAAATGCCTGTTCCCACTTACCACTTTTTATTACAGTTTGAATGTTGACGGTGTAGTATACAAAACTTCCAACTTCAGTGCGGTTATCAACAATCCCCACATATGCTGCAAGTACAGAGGTCAACGTGGAAAGTAAGAACATGATACTTATTTCCATCCTTTAACACAGAAGAAATGCCAATATCACTTGCTTCCTTGTTTCATTTGGTGAACTGCTTAAATATGTAAATGTAATTTCGACACAAATTGTATCATAGGTTTTCAATTATAATTTTGTATTACTCCAATGTAGCAGTTTACAAATGATAACTTAGAAAGCAGCAGATAAATGAAGAATGTTTGAGTGAAGTCTACACAACGTAATGATTTTAAGATATTAATGGCAGCAACATTCTGCAGCAGTAGCATGTATGTACCTTGTCGCTGAGGATTGCTGTGCAAATCTGGTAGGCCACCCTAGATAATACTGCGTATATATTAACCATATAATACTATGCATATTCTGCTTCACAGTGGATGTTAAAGATCATCTGATGTCTTTCAAAGAAGAGTGAACCATTTTGTGCGGCCATCATGGCTAAAATTTGAAAAATTACCTGCAAATAACTACTGCGAAAAATGATCGTCACCCCCTTACTGCAAAAATGACTCAGTGAGGTTTTCCTGGGTAAGTATAAAAAAAAACCTCAACCAAATTTTTATTTTTCCAGGTAAAACCTACTGAGCTATATAACTCTTTTCAGAAGCGACTTGGCCACAAATGATATCTCAATGAAATGGATGTCGAAATGTATATCAGCCAAATACTCTAAACACATCTTTATAAATGTAGAAGGAAAAAACTGGATGACCTGGAGAGTAATCCACGTGATCAGAGAACACGCAAACTCCAAATATACAGGTGTCAGGGTCGGGATCGAATCTATGAGGTAGTTAACATCTTGCAACTCTGGCGTCCCATTTGTAATAAACAATAAAATGAATACACTGAAACACTTTCCAGAAATCATATAAGAAATGTTCTATTAATGTTATAATGTAGTGTAGCACCTTATATAACTGCCATAATTATATCTGCTGTTTATGGACTGGTGGATGAAGGCCTCCCCATGCCTATGCCATCCGTCATGGCCCACTAGTGGCTCACTTGTGTCACACAGCAAGAAAAGCCGAGAGTTAATTCCCATTTCGAACGCCATTCTTTGTGGAGTTATTTTGGTCTCCCCCTGTTCTGCGTGGATTTCCTCCAGATTCTTTAGTTTCCTCCAATAGCTTAAAACATCTGCACTGTTATTAATGTTGGCCAAACATACCAATGCAAACAAATTACCTGCAAATTACTCAAATAGGACTACACGCACAACAACAATATTTCCCCCAACTTTAAAAACTTGGCAGGACCATCCTAAATCGTATTGAAAATCGGTGAAGCTTACCTGGGCAAACAAGTAGAGCAATACTAATACAACATATTGCCAATTGCAAGAATATAGTAGAATAATAACTAAATCTGACACCAATCTTGTGCAATGGCTATCATCCCATCTAACAATATGTCTTGTCCAAGCCACACACATTCCTCACAGTGAATTGGACATCTTTGATTTTTGTTTGTTCCCTGATCCACTGGTCCTCGTTCTGCATCTCAGTTTAATGACGAGCATGCATTTCTTTATTTCTTCTTTGCACACTTTTCATATTCTATTCAATTTAGCCAGGGTCTGTGTTTCTAATCCCTGTTGTAGCTGGTATTATGCACTGATTTAAAAATTTCTTCTTCAGTTGCATCGCCTTCATATTCTTCATTACCGAGTTCAGCTTTTCTACAATGATTCCTCTCCTGCTCTTTTGCGCTTATTTACATATTTACTTATGAAATTTGATCCCAAATTTTCAATAATTTCCTGTAATCCATAACTGTGTATTTTATGAAAAAACGTGTAACCAACCATTGCAAGCAATTATCAGACCCATTCACACATTGTGTACACAAAAATCAAATACCTCAAATTACATAATAGTTCCTCAGTCATTCCTCAAAAACAAAACCTCATTTGAATATTTGCAGACTTCTAAGCCTCCTATCGTACACATAGAAACTGTTCGCGAAAATCACAAAAATATAAATTACATACATGTTTTAGGCAAAACATGCACAGATAAATTTTCTAGAATAAAAAATTGCTCCATTAAGTCATGAACATAAATAAGATGGCCCTTTATGGTTTGCTAACTCTGTTTACTTCAACGTTTAATTTTTTTTTGTGCTTCCAAGGCACAATATTGCAAATTATCATTCAAAATATTCTGCCATCCCTCTGCTTTCAAACATTAAATGTTGGCATGCTATATATATATTTTTTATATCATAACGCAGTGTTTATGATTATTACCAGTGAGCTTAAACAATCATAATTGGAGCATTAAAATTGGAGCATTAGACTCATTGCTTTCTGTATCGGGTGGTGGAGGGTTTTAACAACACAAATTTGGTCAGATCATTAGATTGCCTAACCCAAAAATCGATGATGAATCATATTAGCTCCGAAAAGATACATGTTGAATCAATGATGATTGCCGAGTTGTTTTTGGTCCAAGGCAAAAATGTCAAACTGAGACCTAGGTCCTGTTGTAAACGTGTGTGCTAGTATCAGTGACACAAAGCGTTACCATAGTCGATTCCTGCAACACAGGCCGCTTCTTGTCTGTGTAGGACAGTGATTGACGTATCGAACTTTGGTTTCTTGGCCGGGCAACTCACTGACAAACACAAATAAAATATATTATTGCATTGCAACAACACATGAATAGAGAAATTAGATTTATCAATCAAACCATCAACACACATCATGATTTCCAAAAGTTCAATGTCAGCTTTTGCATTTTTTTTTATAACCAGTTGCCACAATTGTCAGCACACTGGATGTGCAATCCAGAGGGCGTTGGTTCGATTTCTGATTCCAGCATGGCAGTTGAAACAGCAGTAGTTTATTTCACCCCCATCTTAATTCCTACCACGCAGTATGAATGAGTTCACCACAATGAGTCGATCGGCAAGTCACGTGTTGTGGGGTAAAGTGTTAGGTACGACCACCTCTTACAACACGTCTGGTTAACATAAACGTATCGGAAAAATACCCTCTGGAGTTTACTCTTGTGGAGGCCCTTGTGCCAGCAGTGGCACAAGCAAACAATTGCAGGACTTTACCGATACCATTACCTTTTCACAAAAAAACGTTAACAAAGCAATTCTAGGTTTCGCATAGTAAGGTTTGAAGCTCAGTGTTTCAACTGTTTCGTACAGCTCAGTACCTATGTGTTCTTACGGTATAGTGTACATATGCATATTATATATTTGTAACAAAAACAGCATTGCATTATCAGTAGTGCTTGCAACTCTGTAAAATAGCACACGTTTTATATGAAAAATACCCTGTAAATATAATATAACGTGTAAAAAGCTGGTGTGAAAGATTTGTTTTGGTGAGACTTGTTTTACGTGTGGTGTAGCAACGGCAACTGCGGTGGACGAATGGTACACACGCCGAATGGAAACAATAAAAATAATAAAATAAAACAATAAAATAATTGTCACGACGTTTCGGCTACAACGCAAGCAGCCGTCTTCAGGTGAAAAATGAGACACTACCAAGCTAGGAGCTTATATATAAGCTGGGTTGGAGGTGGAAGAGCGCCTTAACAAAAAGAATGTGCATATCAAGAGGAATTTAGCATATTTATGGGAAATGCGTAGGAGGTGGGCGGGGGGGGGGGGGGTTCAAAGTCATATTATGCCCATGCATTATGCAGGATTAGCAGCATCAAAGGGAGGGGGTAGGGGGTAGCATTAACAAAGGGAGGGAATGTTAATAGTATGTAGAAGCAACGAAACATGTCAATGGTAGAGCGGTGGTAGGAGACCCGCGGCGGAGCAAATAATCCATTCCCTGTGGAGAACACAAGATACACAGTCAATGCCAGTGAGTGGACTGCAGTCTGAAAGTCACCGTAAATGTGAACAACAATCAGTTAAGATCCGAAATGGTTTATTACGTCCTTCCAATGATTGCTGAGCCAGAATCCATCTTCTCGGTTGAAATTGTCTCTGTGTTTGTATATGTGGATCGCCTCATGAACGAATCTCTCATGGTAGCCAGATGGCTTGCAGAGAACCTCTGCCTTAGAGAAGTCAATGTCATGTGAGCCCACTGAATTGTAACAGTGATCTGCTACTGCTGAGTTGTTTGTCCTACCGTGTTTCAAGTCTGCTTTATGTTCACGGATGCGGTCCGAGACATGTCGCTTGGTTTCTCCAATGTAACTGCTACCACAGAGGCAACTCAATTTGTAGACGCCAGGGTACATCTTTTACAGACGGGACCAGATCACGGATTTTATGTACTGTGTTGAATCGGACCTGGATCTTGTGTTTTATCAGGATTTTGGAGATCTTTTTTGTGACCCCAGCAATGTAGGGTAAGGTGATGGTCTTGAAAGGCTCCTCAAATGGATCCTTCTTGATGGTTGGAGTGATGGCTTTGCGGATTGTGTAGTCGGAGTAACCATTAGCCTTAAGAGCTTGGCGTACGTGTTTGAGTTCACTGGCAATGTGTTCCTGGTCGGAGATGCATTGGGCTCTATGGTATAGAGTCTTGATGAGGGAATTCTTCTGGGATGGATGGTGGTGGGACTCCGGTTTTAGGTAAGCATCCGTATGAGTGGCTTTCCTGTAGACAGAGTGGCTCATTGAACCATCAGGTCTTCTTTTAATTAGGACATCCAAAAAGGGTAGCTTGCCATCTTTTTCGTCTTCCATGGTGAATCTGATGGCTGGGTGTATAGAATTGATGTGGTCGAGAAATTGGTCTAGAGCAGGCCGGCCATGTGGCCAGATGACAAAAGTGTCATCTACGTACCTCTTCCATAAGGTCGGGCGTAGAGTGGCAGTCTGGATGGCGTCAGTCTCAAATTTCTCCATGAAAACGTTGTCTACAACCGGAGATAGGGGGGAGCCCATTGGGGTGCCCTCAGTCTGTTTGTAGAAAGTTCCATTCCAGGTGAAGTATGTATTAGTTAAGCAGTGTCTCACCAGTGGGGGTACCCCAGTATTCAGTCCTTGATGAACCAAGTCTTCAATGATTGCGATGGTGTCAGGTACAGGAACTTTGGTGAATAAGAAAACCACATCAAAACTGACAAGCAGGTCGTCTGGGGACAGGGAAATCCCCTTGATTGTCGATACCAGGTCAGTAGAGTTTAGTACCGCAGAGGTGGTTTTTCCAGTGAAAGGCAGTAGGATTTCAGACAAAAAACGAGCCAGTTTGTAGGTTGGGGAGTTGATAGTAGAGACAATGGGACGAAGAGGTATCTTCTTTATGTATCTTTGGCAAGCCGTATAATCTTGGTGGCCTAGCTGCAGAAGGTTTCAACGAGAACTGTTTGGTTTGATCAATTAATGCGGTTGAATCAGAAATGATTTTGTTGGTTTTGGTGACGAGGCTTTTGGTGGGGTCTCTTTTTATTTTTGTATAGCTGCCATCGTTGAGTAGTTCTTGAATTTTGTTGTTGTATTCTATTTTGTCCATGATGACAGTGGCATTGCCTTTGTCGGCTGAGAGGATGATAATGTCATCCCTCTTTTTTAATTGAGTTAATTCAAAACGCTCATCTTTGCTGATGTTGCTAGCTGGCATCTTAGCGTTTTTGAGCGTTGCAGAGATTTCAGATCTTGCTACGTCTGCAGCGATGTGACTCAGGCCCTTGAGAGCCACATCTACTCGGGCAATTATATTATTAACTGGTATGTGTCTAGGTGTGACTGCAAAGTTTAGTCCTTTAGCTAAAACAGACTATCAGAAGGAGAACTGTTACTGCGGTTAATTACGACTTTGTTAACGTCTAGCTTTTTAATGTGTGGGTCCGGTCTCCTGTTTGAGAGGCGGTTGAATTTGGAAATCAAGTTGTCCTTACATTTGGTCGACATAGCGGCAGCTGAAGAGGCAGTCATTTTGTCTACATGTTCCCAATCCGATGTGGAAATTGTTGCACTCAAAGATAAGTGTGATTTGTAGAGTGTCTTGTCTAACTGATCTAGATCAGTGCGCGTAATTCTGATTTTCTCTGAGATAAGAGCGAAGCTCGTTCTAGACAAAATTCGTTTAGCATTAGAAGAAGTTACAGCAGCAGATGTTAGTGTGAATACAATTGATATTACCTTAGAGTCGCGGCATCTCTTCAGAAAGGTGAGAGACTCGATTAGTTGAGCCTTCTTATCTCGGAGCTTGTTGAAGGATCTTAAAGTTTTGTAGAATCCCACCCCGTAGTGGCGGTTAAATTTCGATTTAAAGCTTTCTTCTTGGTTCTTTTGTTCATGAGGCGATCCACATATACAAACACAGAGACAATTTCAACCGAGAAGATGGATTCTGGCTCAGCAATCATTGGAAGGACGTAATTAACCATTTCGGATCTTAACTGATTGTTGTTCACATTTACTGTGACTTTCAGACCGCAGTCCACTCACTGGCATTGACTGTGTATCTTGTGTTCTCCACAGGGAATGGATTATTTGCTCCGCTGCGGGTCTCCGTCCACCGCTCTCCCATTGACATGTTTCGTTGCTTCTACATACTATTAACATTCCCTCCCTTTGTTAATGCTATCCCCTACCCCCTCCCTTTGATGGTGCTAATCCTGCATAATGCATGGGCATAATATGACTTTGAAACCCCCCCGCCCACCTCCTATGCATTTCCCATAAATATGCTAAATTCCTCTTGATATGCAAATTATTTTGTCAAGGCGCTCTTCTTCCACCTCCAACCCAGCTTATATATACAGTGATACCTCGGTTCACGAACTTAATTCGTAAACTGACTCTGGTCGCGAACCGAATTGGTCGTGAACCGAGGCACATTTTCCCATAGGGTTCAATGTAAATCCGGTTAATCCGTTCTGACCTTTTTTTTTGGTTTTTGAAGCACAAAAATATGAAACAAATTACAATACACATTAGTACTGTACAGTATAGTAATGTATAAAGAGAGAACACTAACCTTGCTTGAGATGACTTCAGTAAGCACTCAAATGGGTGAATTGTACAATACAGTAAGTACAGTATTGTACAGTACAGTAGTACAGTACAGTACTGTATGTGCTAAAAAGCACACCAAAAAGCAAAAAGTCACTGAAAGTGTCTTCACAGTACTCACAGTACTTCTTTCTGTGTCTCTTCTTCTCTCCACGATATTCCTACAGGAAGTCACGACCATGTGACAGCCTGGAAATAGCATTAAAATGGCCGCGGCTCCTGTTCGTGAACTGAAGCGGAGTTCGTGAACCGGAGCATATTTTTATGAACTTTTCTGTTCGTGAACTGAGTTGTTCGTGAACAGAAACGTTCGTCAACCGAGGTATCACTGTACGCTCCAAGCTTGGCAGTGTTTCATTCTTCATCTGAAGACGGCTGCTTGCGTTGTAGCCGAAACGTCGTGAGAATTATTTTATTATGTTTTATTTTATTATTTTTATTGTTTCCATTCTAAGTGACTTTACCGAAAGAACCAAGAAGATGAATCCCTGCAGTCACGAAAGCCTTAAATCGAAATTTAAGTACACACGCCGTTGAGCACTTACGTGGGTGTGTCAGCAGGGCGGAGGAACTAGGGCAATTGTCACTGAGACCCTGTCTGGAAGACCCTGAAACCCGCTAGTGGGTTCGAGAAGGTAGGATAAAAGCAGCGGAGAGCAAGAAGTGGCCTCATCTCGTCGTCACTGTCGTCTTCGCCGCCTTCATCGCTGCCATCTTCGCTAGACAATTGCGCGGCCAGAGAGTTGTTGACTGTCTCGGTCGCCACCGTCAAAAACCCGCATGGTTGTGTCTAGGCAAGGCTATACAACTTGTGAGAAGCGAGGGCGAACCTGTGAATCAAAAATTCTGTCTCCCGCTCTGTGTAGTGTCTGTTGACACTACACATGTATCCGTGCTTATAGAAGGACTTGTACAACTAAACACTGGAGGTGGCACAGAGCCTACGTTTTTTTTTTCCATATTGATCTAGACTGTCTCCTATTAACTCTCTTTCCCACCTCTTCTCCATTAAACCTACTGGGCGACTTTAACCTTCATCTAACATCAGCATCCATCTCTGCTACTCTACTGTCTCTTACTGGCTCCTTCCACCTAAAGCATATCTCCACTCCCCTACTCATTGCTCAGGTAGCACACTTTATCTCATCTTAATTTCGGGTTGGTCAGCCTCCAATCCTTAAGTTGATCCTCGCCCTCCATCTGATCACCTTATTCTGCCTTACCTATCCCGGCAACATCAGCTCCATTCCCAGCCCCTGTATCTCTATCTATTCCGTCACCTCCCTCACTGAATGTCGTCGGCTTGCACTTTAATGCACCCTGAAAAGGGCGCTATATAAATCCGAAAAAGAATGAAATAGACTATTTTAGCTCAAGAGTCTGAGTATGTATTTCTGAAGATGATATAATAACATTTGCATGTGAAAGGTGTTGTGATTTAAATAATTGTTAAGGTCTAGACACAATGATGAATACAAAATGTATTGCTGGTAAGGCTAATACATAATGATCTGGCCAAATTTGAATCTTAAGGCTGACCACCTGACATAGCCACATACATTAAATTGGCACGTTTCAAAGCATATAATATACAAACTATTATTGCTTTCAGCTCACCAATAAGTTAAATAACCTCATAACCAATTTATCAGCAATACACTTAAGGACAAGATACATAATTAAGATCCAAAATGACATCCTGAAGTCAGAATGACTTGTTGGATTTTATTCTGACTTTGTATATAATTTCAACTTACCAGTGAGCTAAAACAATAATTGGCACGTCGGTAAACGCTTGTACATGTGCCAATGTAATTTGTTTGGTTACATCGTGTGGTGGAGGGTGTTACAATACTAATTTTTGCCAGATCGTTACATAGTAGCCCAACCAAAAAAAAAATGACGAGACGTAACAATGGCTTAGAAAATGAAAGTATTAAGTTAATAATAATATATGTAGCAAACAACAACAAAGCAGAGAATACTCACCCTCCACACACTGGCAGAGATCATTTTGACAAAGCGGAGACAGCTCAACATATCCCCCAGGTAAGTTGTAAAACCTGGTGCATTTGTCCTCTGAAAATGAAATTAACAATAGCCAATGGAAATTGGCAGTTATAGAGGTTTACATCATCAGCAAGGTAATTGTAGCCAGTGCACAATTGGTCTGTTCACAACTCATCTCTAAGTGCAGATTTGTGAGCCCTCATCAAATTGTCTGAGAGATATTTGCACGACTGAGTGATTGTTGGAACACATCAACTCGTGAGCTTCATAGTATACCTTGTCTATGACTATGTGTGCCCACAAGGCTCTTAGGCCTTGAGTACAATAATCAACTTTGACCAATGCTCACGAAGTCTAAAGTCAAAATAATTTTCTGCTAAAATAAGAATTGAGACAGTGCTCATCTGTTTACAACCCTGAGAAAGTAGAGGACATTTCCCATTCATTCATAAGATCAGGCCAATGTGTTCTGATGTCATGTTCCCAATTTGAAAAATTACTCACAAACTATTCAATTGGAATATTCACCATAATTGCTCCCTCCTGTGAATACTTGGCAGGGTCATCATGAAAATTACTAATGAGACTCAGCAAGGTATTCAATAAACGCGATAATATGTGGGCAGGTTCTTAATTTGACAAACACTGTTGGCTTCCCCACGAAGTGGTACCTAATTATTGACCCTGAAAGAATGATGGGCTAGGTCAACCATCCACCTTCCAATTGTGTACCACTCAGTCTGCCACTGACCCACCAGGCTGGGTCAATGCTAAAGGCTTGAAGCAACAATGCTCATTCACTCATCTTGGACTTATTTGACAATAACTATAATTTATTTGATAATAACTAGATTATTATGTTTAGCTTTTTAGAGAAGCAGACTTAATGCAAGACAAGTGAAATGTTTACTTTCAAATTAGGCATCTCTCATGACAAATAACATATATCACTTCAATATGTTTTTATTATGGTTGCTTTATATTTCATATACAATTTGAACGATTGATTTGATAATTATGAGGCCATACATTTCCTTAAAGGTTTGGATTCAATAATACATCCCCTGTTGTTACAAGCAGAGGTAATAAAAACCACCACCTTTCTTAACACTTTGATATAGCAATATTTATAACTGCCCTTCTTCAGGACAGAGCAGTAGAAGATACACAGTAACCCCTTCATTTTTCGATTTAAAGCTTTCGTGACTGCAGGGATTCATCTTCTTGGTTCTTTCGGTAAAGTCACGTAGAAGGGAAGTAATAAAATAATAAAAATAAAACATAATAAAACAATTCTCACGACGTTTCGGCCACAACGCAAGCAGCCGTCCTCAGGTGAAGAATGAGACAATGCCAAGCTAGGAGCTTATATATAAGCTGCGTTGGAGGTGGAAGAAAGAGCGCCTTAACAAAAGAATGTGCATATGAAGAGGAATTTAGCATATACATGGAAAATGCGTAGGAGGTGGGCGGGGGGGTTTCAAAGTCATATTATGCCCATGCATTATGCAGGATCAACAGCACCAAGGGGGGGTGCAGGGATTAGCAGTAACAAAGGAAAGGAATGTTAATGATATGTAGCTGCAGTTACTCAACAACCACGTAGAAAACTAAAGTATAAACTACATAAAAAAACTAAAGTATAAATTGCATAGCACCATCAGTATACTTACTATACTCTACACTAAGCTGAGTTACTAACAGCAAGTAATACATTACAATTCTACGTCGTAAAAATTATATAATATGCTTCCATCTAAACTTTATTCTATTGTATCACACGAGCATATACCGTACTATATACTGCCAACATTAAATTATATACTGTATTGCTGTAAACCAACCTATACCTTATACATTTAATATAACACTATGTATTATTCTACCCACCCTAATGTGTGTCGAAATGGTTTATTACGTCCTTCCAATGATTGCTAAGCCAGAATCCATCTTCTCGGTTAAAATTGTCTCTGTGTTTGTATATGTGGATCGCCTCATGAACGAATCTCTCATGATAGCCAGATGGCTTGCAGAGAACCTCTGTCTTGGAGAAGTCAATATCATGATATTGACTTCTCCAAGACAGAGGTTCTCTGCAAGCCTCATGAACGAATCTCTCATGATAGCCAGATGGCTATTGCCTTCTCCAAGACAGAGGTTATCTGCAAGCCATCTGGCTATCATGAGAGATTCGTTCATGAGGCGATCCACATATACAAACACAGAGACAATTTTAACCGAGAAGATGGATTCTGGCTTAGCAATCATTGGAAGGACGTAATAAACCATTTCGACACACATTAGGGTGGGTAGAATAATACATAGTGTTATATTAAATGTATAAGGTATAGGTTGGTTTACAGCAATACAGTATATAATTTAATGTTGGCAGTATATAGTACGGTATATGCTCGTGTGATACAATAGAATAAAGTTTAGATGGAAGCATATTATATAATTTTTACGACGTAGAATTGTAATGTATTACTTGCTGTTAGTAACTCAGCTTAGTGTAGAGTATAGTAAGTATACTGATGGTGCTATGCAATTTATACTTTAGTTTTTTATGTAGTTTATACTTTAGTTTTCTACGTGGTTGTTGAGTAACTGCAGCTACATATCATTAACATTCCTTTCCTTTGTTACTGCTAATCCCTGCACCCCCCCTTGGTGCTGTTGATCCTGCATAATGCATGGGCATAATATGACTTTGAAACCCCCCCGCCCACCTCCTACGCATTTTCCATGTATATGCTAAATTCCTCTTCATATGCACATTCTTTTGTTAAGGCGCTCTTTCTTCCACCTCCAACGCAGCTTATATATAAGCTCCTAGCTTGGCATTGTCTCATTCTTCACCTGAGGACGGCTGCTTGCGTTGTGGCCGAAACGTCGTGAGAATTGTTTTATTATGTTTTATTTTTATTATTTTATTACTTCCCTTCTACGTGACTTTACCGAAAGAACCAAGAAGATTAACCCCTTCATATTTGTGGGGGATATGCCTTCCTGGAGAATAGCGTGATTAAATCTGCGAATATTAATACTTAGAGCTGATGAATAAAATAGGGTTAGGGGGCATATAAACTTTATGCATATAATCAATGGATACATACATTGTATAGCAGTGTTATTTAACTTATCTTTAATATTGATGAAAATAAACATATTAAGTGGAAATATAAATCAATAAATATTATATCAATAAGTTCCCAAAGAATGCAAAGGACAGCACTCTTTAGTAAACTTTGCAGCGGACAAAGACAGACTGAGAGGGGGAGCGTCTTTCGTGCTCTCACTGTCCACGCCGCCCCCATGCACTACTACATCTTGTCGGGTAGTCACGAGATATTTCCGCGAATGTTAAAAATACAACCCCGTGAATTTCAAATAGCGCTACAATATAATAGTCTTGAATACGCAAAACCGTGATTATAAAACCTGCAAATCTTAAGATTTACTGTATATTGACTTCTATTTGGATAAATTACAAAACAGTATTTCCAGTGTAGTGTAAATGGTGCAAATATTAAAGAGTAGGCACGTATTAGAGGTATGTGGATCTAAACTAATTAACATTTAACATGCTAAGTAAATAAGCAGACAATATGTTTAATTCCCCATATTTGTCCCTCCAAATGAAAAACTGCAATTTTTAAACAAGCATTCAAACATAAACAACAATCTCAATGGAACCCCTTTTGCCAGTATCAAGATGATGAAGAAGAGGTTCATATACACAGGAGACGTTATTTTTTACGTATAATTATTAGTTTGCTAATTTACAAGGAAAGCTTCAATGAGTCTCAAAATGTTTTCCAGCCAGGTACTGCAAAGTTTTTATAGTCAAGGGTGATGATGCTGTGTATCCCCAATTGAACGATTTGTCGGTAATATTTCAGCATTTGGATATTTTGCCAATACCAGTTACATTGGACGTGTTTTTTTGCTAATGGAGGAAACCGGAGAATCCAAAGGAAACCCATGTAAAACAGAGGGAGAACATACAAACTCTACACACGAAAGTCGCCTTTCAGACGGGAATGGAACCCACCCAGTAAACATGCAACGTTGGGCCAACGCTCTTCAATGTTTATACTAGTGTAGTGAGTTCAACTGAGTCGTAGACGTACTCTTGGAGGCAACACATTTATTTAACACCAACACACGGGGTAACTGCCCCTTAACAGAATAACAACCTATGGTGGTGACCACCAAGCTAACCATGCTAATTACAATATAACTAGCTACTACGGACCGGGAACACAGCTCGGGTCCAGATCCACATGTTGAAGACTCGGTAGAACATAGACAGAGACGAAGGTTTCTTCAGGATGAACAACAATGCCGGTCCCTCTGGTGGACCAGGCTTATATTCTCTCCGGCGTGGCTGGCTCTGCCTTTGGCCACGACCACCTTCCAGAATCCTCGAAGCAGGATCTGGACCTGGACCACGTGACCACCCCTAGACCCCACTTGGGGCCCCTTTGTAGACTTAACTGGTCACGTGTCCTCTCGAGTCAACCAGAGTACCATGGCCTTTAGTAACCTCATTCCTACGGCCTGCAACTCCCACACCCTATCCTGTAGGGCTGACACTGCACGCCAAGCGTGGTGCCACCTAGTGCTATCAACCAGCGCTCACTGAGCTCCTCTAGGGCCAGTACTACACCCATATCATAGCGGTGTCCGCAATGTCATTACATCGCACGCCGTGCCTCTCTCGGGCCGGCACTGTACAGTGACATCCCGCGATGTCCCTACACTAGTGACATGTCGCCAACCAGGTCATGCAAATGAATATATGTGGATTACCGTGCCTTGGCAATGCAAGCAACCACTTTCAACGACATAGAATCTACTCTGAAGCAACACCTAAACACCATGAGGGAATATGTCTGGAAATGGAGGCTCAAGCCAAATCTCTGCAAACAACAGTCACTGCATTTCATCTTGATAATAGGAGCGCAAAGCACACTCTGAAAATGACATTCTGGGGAAACACTGTCCGACTCAACCCCACTCCAACTTACAGTAGAACCTCTGGTCACGACCATAATTCGTTCCATAACTTTGGTCGCAACCGGATTTGGTCGTGACTCGAACCTAATTTCCCCATTGGATTGTATGTAAATACGATTAATCCATTCCAGACTCCTACGAACTGTATATAAATATTGTTTTTTAAAGATTTTTAAGCACAAAAATAGTTAATTATGCCATAGAATTCACAGTGTAATAGTAAACTAAATGTAAAAACATTGAATAACACTGAGAAAACCTTGAACAACAGAGAAAACTAACATTGCCGCGTCAAGGTTTAGAATCGTTCAACAAGATGATTGTTTCGTCTGCTACATCAGTCGGTCGATTCTGAGAGAGAGAATATTCGTATGAGCAATTCATGTTTCTATTGAAAGTAAGTTAACAGTAATATTTGGGTACAGTATTGTTTTTGGAAGCATCACTGTAATATCGTATGAACGTTTACTTCACCGCATCATCGTATGAATGATGCGAGAAGAGATTAACGGGTTCTTATGTTAGCGATTTACGTACTCAGCGCTTTCGCTCTCTAAATTACAGCTTGAATGAGGTGGGAGGGGTATGACTACACTCACAAAATTAATATCTTACTAGGAATTTTATATAACAAAAGTTATATATATAACTGCTACGCTTTGTGTTGTTTGTTGTAAACAAACATGAAATTTGGCGCTTTAAAAAAAAATGGCGCGGAAGGGGAAATCGGCCGCGGCCGTGTTTGATCGTCACCCGAATTTGTGTTCGTGACCAGATTAAAAAATTTTGTGAATTTTTTGGTCGTAACCCGATTTGGTCGTGGTCAGAAGCGTTCGTGACCAGAGGTCCTACTGTATCTTCAAGTGAAGCTGGACCATACGCTAACCTTCTATGACCATCTGAAAAAGGTAGCCGCCAATGCCAAAACAAGGGTCAATCTGGTCCAGAAACTGGCAAGCACAAGCTGGAAAGCATCAGGACCAGTGCTACGGACTTCAACAATGGAACATTGTATACTCTGTTGCCAAACATTGTGCACCAGTATGAACCAGAAGAAGTCGCACTCGAATTGTTAATGTCCAACGCAACACAGCAAAGTGGTGTGTCATGGGAATCCTCAAGTCGACCCCAATCCCTTGGCTGCCTGTGCTGTCACACATCTTTCCACCCCCGCCCCCATCAGCCACAATGCTGCAATCCTCTTAAAAGTTCTGCGAATCCAGGAAAATAGTCATCAACATCCATCATCATTGCTTCAAGTCGCACAAGCCATTTTGGAACCATACGTTTAACCTTCAGACTTGGAGTTCAACCGCAATGAAGCTTGGAGAGCTGAACAGAGTTAAAAATAATTCACAAATACCTGGGTTTGATCGTCCACAAAGCTAATGGTCAACTCTACACCGCATCCACATAAACGACAGCAGATGATGATACCTAATGCACAAATGTCAAACTAAAAACTCTCCAGTGTACAACTGTGGTTATCCAGAATAGACCATCCAATATATTACGATACAATGCCCAATTCACAAATATGAAGGAGACACCAGTGATACACTCCACTGCTGCTGAAGTGGTTGTTTGGCTTGACAACCGAAATGTGAAATTGTAGTTGTTGCTCTGCATCTATATCAGCCATACGAAAGAAGAATATTTCACCAATGTTGGCATGTGGTTGGAACTGTTGGCCCAATGTTTACTAAGCACACCCTTCATTCTGGCTGTTTCCAATGCACCAGCCTGCCGTCCAATTTGGGGAGTAACCTTGAGCATGTTGGTGTACTTACGCGGGCTGTAGTAGTCATAAACAGAAGCAGTTACGGGTTGTATCATATCCGATCTCAGCATTTGCTTGATCTTGAAAGCAAAGCAATAATCCTCTGTGCTGGGAACCTGCAACAAAGCAATTGCACACACTACTAATGCATGATACAATGCAAACTTACCTTAATAATTGTTTAATTGTTCAGTACATTTGGTATTGGCGCTATTGTAATAATGCAGAGCTTTCACAAAGGAAGGCACTGTGTTTTGTAGTCATCTGCAGTAGCTTGTAATGTATAATCTCAATTGAGTAATTCGAGGGAATTTCGAATTTTTCAAATTTGGACCATAACGCATGTACACAATGGTCTACTTGTTTGGAATGATGTTAGATGATCTTTAGTCTATTTTACAATTAATAAACCCATAGTAATAACTAGGGCGGCCTGCCAGATTCAAACCGCAAAACCTCTGCAACAAGCGGCGAACTTGCTACCATGATGCCGCCTCTGCCAATTCTTAATGGAATGCCACATACAAATGGCAATTTGAGGAAGCAAAGACAATTTAATTTTGAAATGCTAAGATAAAAACTTTCTCCAGGTAATCTGGTTTACTTCCACATGGATAATCACTCATCAATTTCCTGAAAACATCTCAATATATAGAGGACTGCAGAGCTTATGCCATTGTTGGTGTCGACTCATTGCCTGGCTGCGAATCAACGTCTAACTGAATAACTGCTGGTTCCCCTCTTCAGTCGTGGCTCGTAGCAACAATCAGGGCCTCATTTGTAGCCACGGCTCAGCTCTGGCTTGTGCAATAGTACGATTTGCTGTGGCATTTTATAGCTCTGTACACAAAATATAAGTGACTAACATTTGCACCTCCGGTTAGCACAGTTGGCTACGTACGGTGTGAACAAAGTTCAACATGCATAAATACATAACATTTGAAACTTATATTTCAAACCATTTTAAGGGGCATCCCCAGAGTCATCTTGTGTGTGGCATAAGGTGAATCAGCACTTGTCCTGTAAGCAGGTATTTGTCTGCCAGAAGGCAGCGATGACTGCCATGTGCAATCCTCATTGGGTGATTTGTGGACAAGTTTCAAATTTGGACCATGACACCAGAACACAATAACCTACTCTTGCGAATGATGTCCCGGGACCTTTAACATCTACTCTGAAACAAATGGCACACGTTTCACAATAAACATGCATCGCATTGATAACGAGCACGGCCTATCGAATTCAATCCACGAACTACTATTGCTGTACCATTTCACCACTCCAACAAGCTTTAAGCTCATGCCAGCCAGTTCAGAACACAAGACATTAACCAATATTGAGCAAAGGCCTTACCTTTACAAATCATTCATAAATATGTAGGGACGTAAATGGCGTCCCTGGGTGTGACTATTGTGAGGAGACGCGCTCCCTTACCTGCACTTGCCTGCCGATGGAGACTCGAGGGGCCTGTCACGTTGGCTCGGGTGCCATCGGGAGAGTCAGGGGAAGTGACGTGGCAAGAGGCGGGGTGGGGCCACGCTCGCGGAAGGGAAAGGGTAGAGGCGGGGCCTTGGGACAGTGTGAGAGAGTGAGTGTGGGGCTCGGATGGTGCATGGTTACGCCGGTGGAAGCGGGAGCCGAGAGTGTTGAGGCTCCGAGCATGAAGAATCCTCCCTCTCGTTGGGGTGTAGACTAGCCTTGTTGTAGCTGTTACCGTTAAGTGAATAGTGTGGTGCCTCCTATCCCAGTGTGTGCCTCGTCAGACACGCATTACAAATACAATAGGTAAACACTTAAATGAACAATGGCTTACCTTATCCAAATATATAATGAGCACTGAGTCTGTGATCTCATAATTACTGATGTACTTGTCTACGGATTCCTTCAGCTGTAAATGTAAGCGAGCAGAGCACATGGAAACATGTGAGACCAGTAGAGAATTGACAATCATTGCACATTTAGCTTTATACCGACGGGGTGACTAAACATTGCATGAAACTTCACATGTAGAGCATTTTGGATAATACATTCAATAAAATGTAATTCCGGATAACACATGGACTGTCAACTCAGGCCTCTTTCTGAAGGGCGTTTGTAAGTTCTCTCCCCCTGTTTTTCATGGGTTTCCTCCAAATTCTCCAGTTGCCTCCCATATCTAAGCAAAATGTCATGTTGATTTGAAGCTTTCGTGACTGCAGGAATCCATACTCGTATGTATAAAATGAAATAACATAAATCACGACGTTTTGGGTGCAACACAAGCGTCCATCATCAGGTGGGAAAGCATGGTCTGCTGCTGAGGCAGACTGTTTTAAAAGGTTTAAAATGGGTGTAGCCCAAGGGTCATAAAGAAGTGGCTGGGGCTAGTGATGTTAATGTGAGAAATTAGCATGTAACTGTAAGATAGGAGGAGAGCGGCCACCTGGACGAGGGCACGGAAGTGGCCATGTGTGAATGTGAGAGATTAGCATAAAATAATAGCTGACAGGCAGGTAGGATGGAAACATCACAGTCAGTTAAGACATTACCTGGTTAATAACGTCCTTCCAATGATTGCTCAGTTTGTACCCATCCTCTCGGTTGAAGTTGTATCTGTGTTTATATATCTGGATGGCTTCATGAACAAATCTCTGAAGGTAGCCAGTAGGTTTGCAGAGTAAAAATCTATTTCGCGTGAGCACACAGCGTTAAAACAATGATCGGCAACAGCAGAGGTATTGGTCCTACCGTGTTTCAGATCTGCCTTGTGTTCACAAACACGGTCCGAGACATGTCGTTTCGTGTCCCCAATGTAGCTGCTGACACAACCACAACTCAGTTTGTAGACACCAGCGTATTGCATGTCAGGAATCACATCCTTCACAGATGGGATTAAATTACCGATATTGTGTACTGTGTTGAAACGAACCTGGAACCTGTGTTTGTTTAAGATTTTGGAAATCTTTTTGGTAACGCCTGCTATGTATGGCAAAGTGATGGTTTTAGTTCAATCCTCAGAAGGTTGTCTCCCCATGGCTGGGGAGGCAGCTTTGCGGATTGTACGGTCCGAGTATCCGTTCTTCCTGAGGGATTGGTGTAAGTGGGAGCAGCGGCACGGGGCGCAGCCATCGTCTTCCGAATTTGAAAAAATTCAGCGCAGGAGGGGACTGGAGTGCTTTCGCTTGGCGCTTCGAGTCCGCTTTTCGCTCCCTCCGATGGACGGAGGGGAAGGCGTTGGAGGCCTTGCCTACGTTCCTCGACGATGTTTCTCTCTCGGTATTCCGCTCGATAATTTGCTTAGTTTCGTTTATCCAGAGTTATCAATCAGGATAACACGATTATCATAGATTCATTTACCGATTATCCTAGTGTGTGTTATAATATTTTAGGTCTCCATTTTCATATCTCATCGCAGGTAACAGCTCTTATGAATAAGACAGTTTTGCATGGACTTGGAAGGAACACTCGATATGATTCTGTGATAATTTTATTCTAACAAGCATGTGACATTCTATCATGCAGGTCAAACATGCGTCAATAATTCATGAATAACCAAACACTTATGCATTTGCGATATCATGCATTCGATTAATATGAATAACTAAAATTCTTATGCAATTACGAGACTATGCATTTGACTAAAATGAATGAATAAACACTTATGCATTTAACGAACTGAATGACTAAAAATCCTCCTAACAACCAGACATCTCATTAGTTCGTTTTTTTTTCGATCACAATCGGCGACTGGCCGAGTTTGAAACAAGCATGACACACTTCATTTTGCGGTAATAAAAAGCACTTATTGTATCCCAAAGGCGAAAGTGTATGTATATACTGGTGGGTGAGGGCGTGTTGGGGAGAGCTAATCTGGCTCTGTTTTAATTAATTCTTCGGCGAGACTCTTTGACAAAGGAACTGGTTTGACAAGATTTTCTCTGTTTCCTTGAGTCTGTATGTGGGGAGCGATACGACCTCTCTGCTGTCTGTGCGAGCGGCAGCTGAGACTTTCTCCGCTGTGATGTGAGCGGCGGCGCTCGTTCAGAAGACTTTGACTCTTTTTCTCCACGGCGGGATGACGAGTCGGTTTTGGTTGATGCTGGTCGATCCGGGTGTCGCTCGTTGGCGCACGGTGGCGCACGGTGGCGCAAGGTGGCGCACGGTGGCGCACGGTGGCGCACGGTGGCGCTCGTTCAGCGATCTCCACCTTTCCTGCGGGTTGTTCGCTGGTCGTCACTCTGACGAGGAGCGATGCTTCGTTCGTGGCAGGGTGGACGTTGGCGTCTTTGTTGGCTTCACTCGCAGCTCTGCGACTCAGGGTAGCGATTCTTCTCAGGTGGTGCAGACCTCGGCTTGTAGCTACGCGTCGCTACTCCGCGAACCTCGTCATTCTGGATGACGAAAACTTCTTCGTTGTCGGCGTTGAGATGAGAGGGGGCCCGTGGCCCGGACGATGTGGTGGAGCCGAAGCCCTGGCGACGAGATGGGGCTCAGAGCCCTGGCGATCTGCTGGTGGGGCCCGTGGCCCGGATGAGATGGGGCTCGTGGCCCGGACGATCTGCTTTGTATGGATTTTCCTTCGGTTTATATCTGGAAATTCCACTCAGTTTCCCGAGTTGTTCAAAGTCTGTCATAAAACATTCCTGTGGGTGTGAACCATCTGCGTTCGTGTGTGTGTGTGTGTGCGTGTCCGTCCGTGTGTTTCGCGTGCGTGTTTGTCCGTGTGTTTATTAGCTTTGAAGACACATCTGTGTGTTGTTCTGGAAGGGGGGGGGGGTGGGGGCCTCGTGACGGCGCCACCTAAGTTATTCATTAGCCAGACCGATGGTTCGCGTCGAGTTATATATAAAAAAAAAATATTCGAATCCATGTTTTTGTTACTGAATAATATTTGTCGCGAAAACCTTTCGCGTTAAGTGAGCTTAATTATTCCCTCCCTCGCTCGGGGATCATATCTTTTGTCTCACACAGCTTAAGTTGTTTTGGTTTGGAAGTTGAAATGCGATTTATTTCCATTATGCCCAAGTTATGCTGAAACCGTGTTCACGATGTTTCATCGTGACCCGATCTCTCATGGAAATGTTATTTCCTTGCGTGTGCAATTTTTGCTGTCCGTGTTGTGGGAAGACAAAGACGGTTGTTTCCACGGTGGAAGCACCCGGCGCATGCTTTTATTTATTTATCTTCGAAGACGTGTTAATTTCCTTTGAGCCATTGCCCCCTTTATGGGTGTCATTTCCTAGCTTTGTGCCTGCGTGTGGAGATCCTCTCGGAAAGACAAAGACGGCCGTGTTGCTCGCTTCCCATGGGTTGTTGTGTTTGGTTAATTTTGAGAGCCTTCTCCGCCCTTGATTCCTCTTCTACTTTAATTCCGTACTTATTATTTGACTTCTTGTGATTATTTAATCTGATATCCCGGCTTATCTTTGTTCAGAATATAATTATCTCTTCCTCCGTGGTGCCTGGTTTGAGGTTTTTTTAACAAAAGGATGTCCTGCTGACCCCCCCGCCTGCCATTCCCCCCTCCCTTGTTCCTCTTGTGTGAAATTCGGGGAGTTTATGACCTTGATTACCCTCTTTCATGCCGTCTTTCCTTTGAATTGAGGTATGCGCGCATCTGTGGAAGTGTGGGGGCGTGTTCGTTCCACGTTGCCCCGTGTCTATTAAAAAAACAATATTATATATGATGGCAGAATAATTCTTAAAAAAAATAATATTAAAAAAAAAGAAAAAGGGGGTACATACACAACATCATGCATCTTCGACCGCGTATGATTCGTATGTCCGAGGTTCCAATGGAGCCGCCGGCGGTTCGCCTTGTGCGGTTACCCAATGGAGAAAGTTGGCACGTCGTGTGATAGCGGCCGCGACGGGGTCTTCTACGGTGCCGGGCTCTATTCAAGAGGTGGACGTGCGGATATTGGTGGATACGGGTGCGGAGGCCACTATCATCTCCGATGTCATATTCCACCTCCTTTCCATCCCCACTTTTTGCGCGTGCGGCCGGCTTTCGATGCGTGTATTGCTGCTAACGGGGGTAGTATGGGCATTGTGGGTCAGGTCGAAGCGCATGTTTCAATTGGGAATGTGGCGGCTTCGGGAATGGTCTTGATTTCCAGGTCATTGGCAGTGCCTTGTTTGTTGGGTACCGATTTTCTCTGTCAAATGTCGGTTAAGATACTCGTGGATCAGGGTTGCATTGAGCTTTCTGCAGGACGCAAGATTTTTTTTTTGCCGTCTCCGTTGACTCATTCCACGCCGGACGTTCCGGTGCAGGCGCTTGCCGATGTCTCGGTGGAAATTCCTCCGGGCTCACAAATGCTCGTCCCGTTGCGGTATCGTAAACAATTTCGCGGGATAGACACGGCGGCGGGCGTGCTGCTGTCCCCGTCTAACACCGCTACCAAGGCTCTTGCGCTGGTTGGGGCCCAGACGATCGTTCGGCCGGGTCAACCCCTATTTTTGCAGGTTTTGAACGGGGGGTCGGAAGGCGTGCTGTTTGCTGCCGGCACGGTCCTGGCTCATGCCACTACCACGTTTACAGTCCACGATGAGGATCGGCAAGCAAGGGTTGGCGACGGCGGTTGAGCTTCGGGGAACGTCCGACGATCGCTGGATCGCCGAGTTGTGTCAGGAAAATTCGTCTGATTACTCCGATGTTTTCAGCAAAAGCGATTTCGACCTGGGGCGCACTTCGCTGTTGTCTCATCACATTGATACTGTGGGGGCGAGCCCTATACGGATGAATCCACACCGGCTGAGTCCCTCGGAGAAGGACCATGTGCACGGCGCGGTGGATGACATGCTAGCCGCTGACATTATCTCCCCATCAAATAGCCCATGGGGTGCTCCTGTTGTCCTCATAAAGAAAAAGGATGGCAGCCTCCGCTTCTGCGTTGAGTACCCTCT